ATAACTCCATATCAAATCAAATTTGATCCACAGTAAGTGTATCAGAAATGCCATTAGAAAACCACTAAAAACATGCAGATTCTACACCGGAAGTGCAACAAGATTGCACATAAAGAAATGGACAAACAAACATATTCATACAAAATGTTTTTTCCATGAGTTTCAAGACATCTTGTTTGACATCAAAAGATAAGTCGTATTAAAAAATCCAAAGCAACAACCTGCTGATCCTGACAGACAGATGTTACGACATCCTGTAGGACATCTTGTGATTACACCTAGTTTTACCAAAATGTCTGCCAATCAAGAACTAACAAACTCCCCATTTAGCAAATTTTGGCTAAAACACAAAATAAATCACAAGAAAAATAAAAACCAGTAAAGAGTACAACATAGCAGAAAAACTACACATTAAGGAGAGTAAATGCAAAATAAACTCCCCCTCAACTTAAACAACAAACACCACAACAGCCAGCCCAAGCACAACAGCCCACAGTCATAACAGCCTTCAGCAACCTGTAATGCACAGACAAACTAACAGACAAACAACCACGAGGCTACTACAGTAACACAAAACATCCAGCAGGATTAACATCCTGTCAGCCCAGGACAAGGACACAAACATCCAGCAACAAACATCAGCAGCAAGCAGCAAAACACTAACTTCACAAACTTCCAGTCAGCTACACACCTGCTATACACAGCAGCCATATACCAAGGTGTATACAGTATATTCTTCTCCCCCCTTTTTAGCCATAATTTAAAAACAAAACTAGGATATAATAATATATCAAAAGGTCAAAGACAAGCAAGTTAAGGGCATAGAGACCCGAAAAATTACAACCCAAATGCAAAAAGAGTGCAACAAATTCTGTTCATTCTGCTAAGGCAGACAAAACAAACAAAAGAAACCAAATAGCAACCCAATACAGAAGCAGGCAACTTAATCTTCAGAAGCAGAACTGAAACAAACATCTTCAACATCAGTTGGGACATCTTTACTACCATCCTCAGAATCCTTTCCAGACCCAGCCCCACCATCTCCTTTACTAGCATCATCATCATTGACAGTGTTATCTTCAAGGGTTTGAATTAACAATTCCAATTTGATTTTTCTGGCAGTAGCTGCAGTAACTGTATCCCCTAGTTCCCTGTAAGTTTATTTTAACACAAAGATGATCCTTGCCCTTGAAGCAGCGGCCCTTTCAGCAGATGTCAAGACAATATCTGGAACATGTCTTCCAGCAAAACGTTTATAGTGAAGGGACAATATAGACTCCCTCTTACTAGCAACATCTTTAGAATTTAGAATCCCAGGGTGTTGATTCAGAATAATTTCAAAGATGAGGGAAGGAAAGGCAATTGGCAGCTTTATGACACTAGTGGTAGAATGCTTAATAATTTGATCAAAAATGTATAAACCAAAATCAAAATCCACCTTAGTACCTACAACATATAAGAATCTGCCTAGTCCAGTAGCAATGGCGGAGGTGTGGTTGGTAAGAACCCAATTTGCAGCACCAATCCTGTGAAAGATGGCATATTTCACACTGAGTTGACTTGGTTGCAGTGATGACTTTGCACACTTGGTTATCAAAAAATAGTCATTTCATCTTCACCATCATTTGATCTTCCAAGAAATCTGTTGATTACCAAAGAGGAAAACTTTACACATTTCCCCCTAACAAACACCTTCATATAGTCCTTGTTATTCATATCAGTAATGAAGTCAGGAATGTTCACGATGAATTCTTTCACCATCCCTTCATAACACTTGGAGAAGCCAGTGACAATTTTGAGCAATCCAACCTCATTGATTAAGTCCATAACTTTCTTGATATCCAGAGCATCTTTACCCAACTCTCTTTCGAGAGAAATCCTCCTTTGATACACATATTTCCACTTTGTCACACTGCTGATAGAGTGAAAAGAGACATTGTCAAGGGGAGCAACATGCACTTGTTTTGTAGGTTTCTTGGTAGTAGATTTCTTCACAAGAGCTATGTCAGGAACATCTTTTACAACATCATCATCTGAGTCAGTGTTTTCCAATCTGACTTTTCTCTTTTTGGTAGCAGGAGTAACCTTGCTCCAGGCTTTAGGAGGTCCAACGGGGGTCTTCTTCTTTTGGCTTTTGGAAGGGGATTCCTCAAGCACAGCCTTTCCTTTTCTTGTCTTCAATCTCTTAGCAATTCATGGGGCAACATTTTTGATGAGTTCATCATCTGAAGGCATACCATCAACATCTACAACATTGTCAGCATCATTCATATCATCATTCATACCAGTATCTTCAGCCTCATTCACATCATCATTTAGACCTGCTTCATTACCCTTATTCACATCATACACCACAAAACTGGCAAGTTTTTCTAAAATTTCAGTGTTAGGGTTGTCATCAGTAGAGGGTTTTTCGGCATTTTCTTCTAGGTTCTTATCAGTGTTGGGGGATGAATCAACACGAGAGAGAGAGGAGTGGAAATACCATGCACATTATGATATCCATAGAGAATCTTGGTGACAAGTTCCCTAATGGATCTGTCGACATAAGCAGAGCCTTCTTGTTTTTCATTCTAGCAATGTTGTCAGTAAAGGAATCAGACGTTTTACCTTTGGAAGATTATTGAGACTCATTTGCATAAGGAGGTGTGGTCTTGGGAGCTTCATTTGTATAACCAGGAACCATGGAAATAGGGGTCACGTCAAGAACATCTTTGAAGGAGATGTTCATGGGTTGAGCATCAGTGTGGGTAGTCTTTGATGAGGAAACACCATGTTTGGGAGACATTTTTCTATCTCTGAGAGAAGAAATTTTTTGAGTAGGATGAAGGTAGAGAATACGCAGAGAGTGAGAGGTAGTTTGAACAGTGGTAGAGGTGTGGAAGTTGAAAGAGCAGCTGGAGGGAAAACTTTGAGAGGGGTAGTGTGCTTGAGTGGACAAGCACATGTTGTGTAATAAAGAGGGATGTTGGAACATCTCTATTTTAAGAAAAAAGCATCTTTTAAAAGTAAGAATCCCTCTTAGCAGTAATTGCTATAAATCCTCATAAATACAAATCCCCGAGTTTCCTCTCAAAGTCTCAAATTGATTTGTATCCAAGGTTTTGGTAAAATTATTAGCCAATTGATTTTCTGTAGTGACATGCTCAAGAGTGACGATTTTATTTTCAACAAGCTCTCTGATAAAATGATGTCTAATATCAATATGCTTAGTTCTGCTATGTTGAATAAGATTCTTGGAAATATTCATAGTACTCAACTTATCACAGAATAATGTCATGACATCTTGTGTGACATTATACTCATTAAGCATATGCTATATCCATACGAGTTGAGAACAGCTACTCCCAGCAACTATGTAATCTGCTTCTGTAGTAGCTAGGGATACATAACTCTGTTTTGTGCTAAAATACGAGATGAGGTTGTTTCCCAAAAAGAAGCAGCCTCCAGATGTATTCTTTCTGTCATCAGCACTTCCAGCCCAATCACAATATCCAGACAACACACACCCAAATTCATGAGTGCACAACATCCCATACTTACTTTGAGACAGAAATATGGATTCTTTCATCTGTATGACTTGTATTCCAATAAGGTTAGTTAATTCCCCAACAAGGCTTGTTTCAAACTTAGATTGCATTTGCTGCACACAATGTTGAAACATCTTATCTGACATCCTAGTTTGTTTTCCTATTTGGCCTTCACCACATATTTCTCCTTTCTCAATCTTTAGATTAAAGATACATCTGACAACACTTATAGATATGATCTTCTTCATTCCTTGTAAATGCCCAAGTTTCTGGTGCCACATTCTTACTTCATCCTTTTTAGCAAGAGCACATTTTGAGTCCTGAGAGGTTCATAGGTAACAATTGTCCTTGGATCTGACTCCCTTCATGATCTGCTATCCCTTTTCATTAGTAACTAAACACTCAAGTTTAGTGAAGTTAACACTTAGACCTTGATCACACAGTTGACTAATGCTAATCAGATTGGCAGTTAATCCTTTGACTAACAGCACATTGTCAAGATCTGGTGTTCCTGAGCAGTTTAGTTTTCCAATTCCCTTGATTTCCCCTTTTTCCCCATCTTCAAAGGTCACATAGCTGGTTGAGTGAGGTTTGATGTCCACTAATAGATTTATGATCTCTGTCATGTGTCTTGAGCACCCACTGTCAAAGTACCAATCTTCCTTAGTAGAGACTAAAAAATATATTTAACCAAATAAATAAAATAAAAAATTAATAATTAAAAATTATCTATTTAAAAAAACGAAAATAATATTAAAATATTTTAAAAAGTCAACATTTAACTTTTTGTTAACTTTTTTTTTACTGTTTAATAAAAATATGAATAAATAATAATCCATATTTTTTTAAATTTTAAATCGGGTATAAAAATGAAAACAAATGTCAATGTTTTTCGCACACCTCAAAAAGTAAATTTTATTATATAAGAAATTATTTTAAATTAAGTAGATCACGTTGTATTTGAGACAAAACAGATCATCTTATAATTATATATTTTTAATATATATAGAGATGAGCAAGCTTATAATTTTATGTTTTAGTAAAAGGTCACGTCTAATGATAAATAATTTAAAAGAGAAATTTAATCATTTTTATAATTATATGAATTAACTGTTGGTTAGCATTTTAGATTTACAATTAAAGACACAAACCAATCAATCCCTTTGTGCACTCATCACCATTACACATCCATTGCATTAAATTGACAGATGCAATCACCATATCACTTACGAGGTTAACACATTTAACTTGACAAATTGTGCTTTTGGTTGGCCCATTTAGCGCAACATTTATTTTCAGTCTAAGAAGTGAGTGTAAAGGGTGCGAAAAGAGTATAATAAAAAGGAGATCCAAAATTAAAAATTGAGAGGATAGTTTGGTAATTGAAGAGGGATGCAGAGAGGATGAGAATAAGATAACCCGTTCGAGGGAAAGGGGATATTGTTATTTTAGAATTATCTCAACCTATCTATGGCCGTTTCAATGGCTACTGGACTATTCTCTGCTTCCACTCTAACTCTCCGCCCACAACTTCAACACAGGTTTCTGTTTCCCACACCTCCTTCTTCTTTACGGATGCTTCCGCTCCGAACACTCACTCATGCCACCGTTTCTCAACCACCCGCCGACGGAAAAGCTCGTGGTATAATGAAGCCTCGAAAAGTCTCCCCTGAGATGAAAGACCTCATCGGACTTACGGAGGTTTCTCGAACCCAAGCACTCAAGCACATTTGGGCATACATCAAGGAAAACAATCTTCAGGTTTTTTCTTCCTCATTGCTCATTTATCTTCTTTATCTTCCGGATAAGGTTTTTCTTATTATTATTATTTAAAAAAAAAATCACCAAAACCCTAGATATAATATTTTGTTTTCGAATTTGTTTAATAAATGAAGCATGAAATTTGTATTTAGGGTTTTGTGTAGAATGACACTGATGTAGAGTATCTTGATAAATGTTCAACATTTTGGAGGAATATTTTGATGATGTGTAAATTTCAACCCTAGAATTTTAGCATTAGAGGCTTGTAGACAATTTTATTTGTAAGTTTTTCAACTTTTGATAGGATTTAAATCAACTGAATTTTTGGTTTGTTTCTAAAATATGCAGAACCCTGAAAACAAGAAGCGTATTCGGTGTGATGAGAAGCTGAAGAAGGTATTTGCGGGGCGTGATGAAATTCATATGCTTGAGATTGCTGGTTTGATTAGTCCTCACTTCCTTAAATGATGCCAAGGGTCTCACTTAGTGTTTTGGTGCATGGAACTACTGATATATTTGGGAACACTGAGTTCTGCAACATAGTAGCCTTAGTTTTTAGTTTTGGTTAGAACAAGCTTATGTTGAAGATTTTGTTTTTGAATGATGTAATTTCTTCAGCACAAGCCCATAGTAGCTATGTGTTAGGTATTTTATTGGACTTGTTATCTTGTTGCTATCTATGTTTCTCTGCATGATGGTTGATCCAACTAATGGAGGGTCATGATGATTATTTAATTAAGAGTAACCCTTTGCATTGTGCTTATGAAACATTCTTGGACACCAGTAGTTTGGAGTTTGATACTACGATAAAGCTTCTGCAGGGGGATAAATTTCCACGGCTGCTTCCACAGTTGAGGGAACGTTAACTCCATTCATTAGTTTTGGCAGAAACTTGATAGTAATTTGGAATGACAAAGAATGCATAAAAATATAGAGATGGTTAGGGAACTTCGTCATCTAAGCCTTATCTCGTAACAAAGTAGTGAATAAAGTGACAAATGAAGACTAATCACTGAATTGTTATGTTGGGTTTCGAAGGAGACTCCATGTCTTTGTTCAATTTTGATGAAGACCTATTTTAGTTCCTCACAAAAAATGTAAAGTTAACCTCTTAGGAAAAGAAAACACTATTTAATCTCTTACAAAATGTTAATATTTTTTTCAAACTGGTTTTTTCTCTACTTTTGAACGGTATTATTTATGTCACATGTAAGAAATCATCTCAAACACTCCAGTAGAAGAACTAAATCTTCCTAAAAGATCATCACCCATAGAAACAATAACAACTCATAATACATAAGAAAAATCATAATCACCCACTCATAGCCTTAATAAACACAACAAAACAAAGAATGTCGTGGTATCACGATGATTTATCTCCAAGTCCTTCATAAATAATTGCAAATCAACAGTAGTAACCATTTCTCGTTTTCCAAATCACTTTTCTCCCTCTTTTTCTTTTTCTCACCATCATCCTCCTTAGAATTTTTTTTAAAATAGCAATGTTATAATTGTTATTTACCAAACAAATTATACTTTCAAAAAAATTACCAAATTGGCAATGTTTGGAATTTCACTTTCGCCAATTCGTTTGGCGAATTAGGCCAACCAGCAACATAAGCAATTCGCCATTTGGTTTGGCGAAAGGGTGTAAGTTGTGGGCTTTCGCCCATTGAATTGGCGAATGAGGTTTGTATTTTAGGGTTTCTTTCGTTTTCAATTTCCTTTTCATTATGATATAATATATTTTCGTTTTCATATTTAAAAGTCTTAAAATTTAATTGTTTTTTAATTTTAATTATTATTATTAACCATAAAATATATTAATTTATAATCTAATTAATATTAATATAATTAAAATATATTCGTAAGTGATAATAAAATGAAATTATATTAATTTATAATGTAATTAAAAATACAGGAACAAAAATATAAATATAATGAAAATTACAAAAAAAAAAAAAACCTAATGATCGGCTCTATCCAAGTGACCACCGGTGCCACATTGGGGGGACGCGTGTTGCGACGAGGTCTTCGACGAGGTTGTTGTGGTGTGTCAGGATGTTGTGTGTTGAGTTGTGGTGGAGGGTTCTGTTGGGACGGCCCCTGCGTATCAGCTAGATCTTGCATCATTTGACCCCAATAGCCGGGAGGTCCCATGTCACATGCACTTCCGTAGTCAAGGGCAATGCCCATGTTTTGGTACGATTGTCGGGGAGGGTGGGTGGAGTATGGACGGTATGGTTGTCCGAAAGTGTACATGGAGTTGGGTTGGTCTAGGTGTGTTGGTTGTTGTGGGGTGTGGTAGTTAAATAGTGGGTGGTTTGAGGTGTAGTTGGAGGGGGTAGGGTCGAATGAGTTGTCCGTGATATAGGTGGTAGGGTCAAAAGACATATCAGGGCTGTACTGGTGAGATGGTTGAGGCTGAGATTGGATTGGTGACATGTAAGGTGGTTGTTGTTGATAGGGGGTATATGTTGGCATGGATTGGGGGGTGTCTTCGTATGGTGGTTGTTGTTGATGGTCTTCGTATGGTGGTTGTTGTTGATGGGGGTGTCTGTTGGTATTTGTGGGTATGATGAAGAACCACGTTCCCTTGGATCGGCCAAATAGGTTGGCTGGGACAGGAAAGGCTGGGTTGTCGTGACAGAACTAAACCAAGTCATATATTGAAGACTTGGCCTAGCCCCGTGCACAATACTGTCGGTTAAGACGTATTGCCTTCTTCTTTTCCAAAGTACACGCAGCTCCTTTGCAAACTCCTTCCAATCACCAATCATCCACTGTGCGTCTACCCGTTTTTGATGCAACTTCCCCAAGTCTACGGGAGCATCTGGAATATCTTGATGCATCCCAAATTGGAGTTTGACCCGATCACTTGGTGCATCTCCACCGTAGTGAACCTAATTATAGGTGTTTTTGCTGTCCACACAGCGGCATCGTCGGGGTTGGGCTGGTGGTCGAGACCCTCGTACGGCATCCAGACAAACTACAATATAGTTGTAAAATTAAGTTAGACAGGATGTGTGAAGTTTATGCATATACATTAAAGAAAATTAGGGTAAATAGCTTACATCGTTTGGCCCAAGGTGGTCGATTAGGTTGCGGTATTGAATTATAGAGTGCCTTGGACATTTCTCATAATTCATCCCGGGTACAGACCACCTAAAAAAATAAACACAAGTTAGAAATTATTAACTGAAATAGAATACGTAGCTGGCAAATAATGTTGAAAAGATACTTACTTTTTTGCGTAGGGGAACGTAAAAGAATTTTTGTTTATTGGAGCAAGCAATGGCATCCTCGACCAACCCCAAGCTTGCAAAAGATAGGCACAACCATAAAAAGTACAAGAATTTTTTTTGGACGTCTTACAAAGTGCGCTATATAGATGGGCGAGGACTGCTGATCCCCAGCTATATTCACACACTTTGTTGATATTACGCAATAATGGTAAATACATAGTATGAATTGTATTTCCAGTGACGTCTGGAAATAAAAAGTGGCCAAATAAAATCATAATATAGCACCGAGTTTTTTGTATTTTCTCATACTCGGTGCTCTCATCCGTTAAAACAATACCGTTGTATTGTTCTCTCAGGTATTTTAAGTTAATACCCTGACCCCTCGGGCGGCCCTTGCTTCCTGCCTGAGGTCCGTCCTCACAAAGAGGGGCGCCCAATAAATCTTCACAAAGTTGGTCAGGGACACCAACTTTGCCGTTGACGGCCTTACCATCAATGTGTAGGCCGAGCAACATATAAACGTCCTGGAGAGTCACAGTAAACTCACCACAAGGAAGGTGAAATGTATGTGTCTCCGGTCTCCAGCGTTCTAACAACGCTAGAATAAATTTTGTGTCAAGGGAATAAGATTTGATTTCGATCACACGCCCAAACCCACAATGTATAAGATAGTTTGTAATGAGGGGGTCGTGTGGTATGTAGTCATGCACACGGCACCGAAACCTTGATACATCCTGCAAAATAATGAAGTAAAATTACTATAGTGTTTTAGACAAAATTACTATAGTTTTTTTGGACAAAATGGTAAGACATTGACATGAACAAAAGGACTTACAAACTCGGCGATGTTTTCAGCCGTCCCTCTATGAGAATCACCCATGGTTAGTACAAACATTGTTGAGGGTTAGGAGTTTGAAAGTTTAAGAGTTTCAGACTTTGGGAGGTTGCGAGTTTGAGAGTAGGAGAGTAAGAGAGTATGAGACTTTAAGTGTGAGTAGAATTTGATGGGTAAATACCCCATATTTATATTCCAAGAGTGGATATGGTTTAAGTGCATGCTTGAAACTTGTGATGAGATATGTGTTGTGTGAGTGCATGCTGAGCACTTGGCGTGACATATGTGTTGTGTGAGTGCATGCTGACCACTTGGCATGACATATGTGTTGTGTGGGTGCATGCTGAGCACTTGGCGTGACATATGTGTGGTGTGAGTGCATGGTTGGCACTTGGCTTCAGCTATGCGTAAATGCAGTGTCTTTTTGGTAAAAGGATGCAGATTCCTTCAGTGTAGCGTCTAATCAAACAGGCTACATGGCATTTATTGTAATGCAGTGTCCCGTCTAATGTATGAAAGCAGATGCTCGTAGGCCTGCATGGTCAATGTAGGGATGCAGATCACATGTGAAAAAAGGAGATTCCTTCAGTGTAGCGTCTAATCATACAGTGGTTCATTCATTGCATAGTGTGATTATTTATTCAGTATTTTGTATAATATTTTTATTCATCGTAATGTGATTTATTTCACCAGTGTAGTATTATTTATTTCATCATACTATTTTATTTCATCATACTTTTTTCCATATTATACTTCAGTGTAGTATTATTTATTTCATCATACTATTTTCCATAGTACACTTTGTTCATATTATGGAGCATGCATGATAAATGAACATCACATGTAAATGCAGAACTTTGCATTGTCACTTCATATCAAGTCTGTGGTTCACGTTATTGATTATGGAGCATGCGCCATAAATGTAAGGCATGCAGAGATTCCTGATTTGCACATCACATGTAAATGCAGAACTTTGCAGTGTCAATTTCCCTCAAGTCTGTGGTTCACGTTATTGATTAAGGAGCATGCGTGGTAAATGAAAGGCAGAACTTTATTGATACATGCAAAAACACTAAGCCCATTTTATAAAGCCTTTATCAAACACACTCAAAGACTCAAACATTCAGAAGCACTAAGGTCATTATATAAAGCCTTTATCAAACACCCTCAAAGACTCAAACATTCAGAAGCACTAAGGCCATTATATAAAGCCTTTATCAAACACACTCAAAGACTCAAACACACCCAAACACTAAAACGTTGTTACACCCCGTTATTCAAACACCATAATTTCCACAATGTCTCAAACACCACAACACATGATTGCCGCTCATATGAATGGTGAAGCTTTCGAATGTGAGGATTCGGGATACACTTTCAGAAACACG